TGGTGAGAGATTCGGCACTGACATACGATGCTCTCGCTGAGACGCTCGGGATGTATAACGTGGAGATTCTTCGCCGTTACGCTGGCTGGAATCCCAATTGTTTCGCTGTCTGTAAACGCGAATACTTCTCAACAACAATTATCTCTCACTGGAAATACTTTTCCAAAGAGACTAATCGATTAATACGTTGACGACCGGGCGGTTCATATATGTCCCACAATGTCACACGGAGGGGACTTGTTCTGTGTGATTTGTGCCTCCATTTTTATGTTACAAAACTGTTTACATTCATTATTGGATACTAAAAATGGGTACAGTGATTACCAATAGGGAAAATATCGGTCAATTGACGAGACATTTGTAAAAAAAACAATGGGTAGATGGGTTTCCAACGTCAACGTCGTTCAAAAGACAGAAAAGATGAAGGAAAACAAAAGATGTAGACCAACTGAAGTGGCAAACATAGAAGTGAGTAATCTTCCTGAAAAAGACGGCAATTCATCTGCCGCAAATCGGCAAACAACAGTACATTACAACCTACATTTTGGGAGATCTCCTACGCTGTGTCAAAAAACTGTTGGCCTACTCTCAAAAGTATTACATCCTGGTCGCTACTGTAAAAAGAATTTGCCTTGGCCAATAATAAAAAAGATGTGAAGGATTACTTGTGACACAACACTGCAATGGGAATTGTTCTCGTGTAAGGGTTAATTAATCCCCAGAAGCGAGTAATGCCACCCTCTCCAAAGCAGGAAACCATTTCGTTTTTTTGGCTCTCAAAGGAAACGACGATACTGTCAAGCCACTGTACGTTTGAACATGGGCCAAATCAAGAGGTAGGTTTTGTGAGAGGCTCAGGTAAATATAAATGTTAGAGAGAAACCTATTCACGCCGTTTCGAAGTGACGTTTTCTCATTTTATAAAGAACCTATGACAGATATCGTCCTTGTTCTCTTTCTGCATACTTTTTTAAGTGACCGCATTCAGCTGGCTAGGTTGTTGTAGGCATTGCAGAGCAGGGTAGGGGAGATAGACACGAATATTTGTGCCCCATAAACGAAAACCACAACAGCGACAACCTCGTTGTGAATGGTGTTACCAGAAAACATGACCCTGATTCCTTGCGCAAGACTTTTTCGCTGTGTGGATCGCCCTAAATGCAAGCGCAATTTGCTTTCATGTTTGACCCATTGGAATATTGGTGCTTATTTTTCTTCCATTATTGTACCTCCTTAAAAATTCTACTGAGCCGTTAAAAAAACTGACCATGCAATGATTTCAGAAGTTTACAGAAAAAGGTAACAAATAAAGAAGAAAATAGTGAAATACTCAAAAACTGAAGACTGAAATGTTCTGTCACTTGGTAAACAATGAGAATCATGAACAGAAAGAAAAAAAACTTACCTCAGCGAAATTTTTGGACTGGTGAACTGGGATGGCTGCTCTGGCGATCGCTCATTTGTTAGCTGGAGCCTATAACTCGGACCCAAATTATTCATGATATAGTCTCTCCTTCAAAAAGAGACAAATAGATAACAACTGAGCAAAAAAGAATTGGTAACCTGCAAAGAAAAAAGAGAAAAACATGTTAAAAAGAAAAGAAGGCACTGAAAATTCCTACTTACCTTCTCCTTCTCAACTCCTCGATACAGTTGCTTATCATTTTTGGATCGCACGCCGTGTCGGGCGGCCGTAATGGCTGGCGTTTTGGAATCGCCGTTTGCAGCGGTTTTACGGCCGTGCTCATTGTGCATGTGGGTCCAGGACTGCGTTCCGTGTGTCTGGCTAACCGCATGACGGACGACGCACAAAGGTCACTACGCTCACGTCGCATCGGCAACGGACATACGCGAGCTGACATCACCACTGAACAGGTAGTCAATATTGATTGATCCGCAGAGAAATGTAATCAAACGCTTCGGTAGAACCTCTGCTGATGAATTCCAGAACCTGATTTAACAGTTTTCAACACTGCTGATTCAATATATGTAGATGTATAAAATTTACTGCATCCCAGGTTGAAATAGCCTACTTTTGAGGAACCTACCACCTCATTACCTATCGCCAATAATCGATAACTCCATAAGTTCATTACTAGAATTGGACTGTTCAATTGCGACAAGTTACCTGAAAAAAAAGCTTCCACCATTGCAAGGCCCTTCATTTATCATTCATTGTTGTCTTATTTATTCTTTAATCAATGACTTGTAACCCAGGAATTCCTCTAGAAGTCACTTCCGACTTATTCTGCAACTACTCCGGCTACTACTGCGGTTACTCAACTTTTAGCCTGAACGATTCGATTTACTAAGAAGATAAAATCCATGAAATTTGCACATTTTTGTTGTTCATAAGGACTAAGAAACTTGACACTAGAGCAGGTTGACGGTTAATTTGATGCGACGTCAAAGCTTTTTTGATAGTCCCATATAGGTCGTTTTTTGCAGACACTGCAGAGGCCGATGGGTTACTGCCCTCTTTCGGAAGCATTGTTCATTTGCTGATCACATCGGAAGTAGCACCTACCGGCCCAATTACAACGGGTCAGTGCTCTCTGACTAGATGAACAATTCGGTCGGGCATTCAGATTCTTACAACTTACGTCAGCCTTCCATTTGACTCGGTCGTAAAATATCGGGCCGAGTGCATCACTCCGGAAATATTATGTTCGAAAGGAAGTTCTGTAACAACTACTTCCGAATGTTAGTGTTTCTTCCCAAATGCTCTAAAAACTTCCATAGTGGTATAAAAAAGAGCAGACTGTGCAGCGCACGGTGCTCCAATCAGCTTTCGCACAATGGCGTCTGCATTAAACAGACATTTTCTTCCGTGAGGGCTCATTTTGTACGAAATTCGTTCATCGGCCAGAGAAAAACGAGGCGGGAATCACACATCTGAGTATGTAAGTACGCGATTCCAAGTGACGGTAGCAAAATGGCCCAAAGGGTTCTCAGTAGGAACTCTGATCTTTGCGACGCGAGGCACGGTTGCTGTTGAGCTTGACGTCGTCCGCACGCTTGTCGGAGATGATTCAAGGCGATCGCCTGGCGTAAAGTCTTAGGTGCTCCCATGAGAATGTCCATTAGGTCTCTAAAAATTAGGCAGTTCCTGGAAATGAGCTCTTTGTAGCGCACAATCTTGACCGAGCGTACATTTGCACCGTTCTCTCGTCGCACAACAACGACGATTGGGTACGGAATGCGACCAATAGTGGAGGAAAATGGATCCGCTGCGCTAATCATATGCGGAAACAGCAGTGGCTCCGAGTACGGAAACTGAATTTCTCTGCCTCGAGCTGACATTTGTGGGGAAATTGTGACTCTGTCAATTTATGGAATTGTGAGGGCATCACCTGCTAGTTGGGTTCTGACCGCATCATCGGCGATGAAAAGCGCTACCTACGGTTAGCTGTTCAAAACGATTGCAATAGAAGTCCACGGAAAACAGCGACAATCTAATCTGCTCTACGCCATAGGGGATCCTCACGTGTTTCCAGACTCACGCCAGAAAATCCTAAACAATGCTGCTCTGCGGTCGCTCACCATCCGCCATAATGCCTGGCCCTGCCTAATCCGATCTAGAGATAAGAAGTTCGGCGACAAAAGTTCCCAAATCCGACATACAAAAGTTTTCCAATGAAAAATCTCGCAATTACTATAAAAATGATATCGATCTGTTGCCGAAAGTGTGGTGAATTGTTGTTGATTCTGATGGTCAATATGTTAAAATTCTTAGGAAAACAAGAAATAAAAAATAAACTTGAAAAATATGCTGTTGATGTTCCAAAACTTTTCCTGCAATCTAATCAAACTTAGTAATTTCGTTGGAAAATCAACATCTAGACGTGGAGAATGCTGCATGAGAAGTCTGCATTGGAAATCAAAGCAAAGCTGGTCATGTTCACTACATTCAGTGTCTGCAGTGCCTACCCCGAACCAACAAAAACTCTAAACACTTCGTATTTCGTCTTAGACCCAGTTAAGGAATATTCTGAATTACCTGTAGTCGTAGTAAATACTTCACAACTATACTGATCAGATGTTTATGATGTCACACTAATGAGTACCTAATGCAGTCGCGGAAAGCTCAAAATCAACCGAAGTAAAAAAGGATGGGAGGAGAATTGAATGATCATGCTCTCAAGAGATGATAGCAAGGGGTAAAACCGAAGGCGGCATTCGTTTGTGAGCTTCAACTCAAAACAGGCCCCATTACTCATTACTCTTTTGCTGGAGCGGCAGTATTTTCCCACTGCGCACGCACTTTGTCTAGCTCAGGCTTTCAGCTACACCACAGATGCAAATGAGTAATTAATTATAGAAAATTATTGTTCACGATAATTTCCTAGCTTGATTAAATATTTCTAAATTCAAGGCACTGGCCAAAATTTCCTACAAAAGAAACATGACCAGATGTTATTCATTTGGATGTATGAAAGGAATATGAAGCTAATGAGGCCAACAAACAAACCTTCGTCGTAGCTCGGTTTGAATGTGCTCATCTGGTTTGCATGGTGCTTTTTCCAATCCTCAGTTTTAGACGGTGAACCGATCTCGAACGCGGATTTCGAGCTGAAATAAAGTTGATCACTTCCACGAATTAGCAAGTTCCCGGCTTCCTTGATGGACAGCAGCTATACCATGATTTCTACATAACTACCCTAGCCAGCTAATAGGCAGGGATAGCCGAGTGGTTAAGAGGTTAGACTCATGTCTGCACCTCTGAAAAACCGCGAGTTCGATCCCTGCCGAGGCTTCCATGCCTTGCAAAAATTGCAAAAATGGTTCTAGTACCAGCGTCAGGCCCAGGTTGACAGGCCGGCTGATGAAGACCCCAGTCACACAAATATGTCTAAAGTCGAAAAAGAATCAGTGATAAAGCTAGGACGTCACCCGGAAGTGGCGCGCAGAACCCCCGCCCGAGTTCTGTGGTCAGTATGCGAGGGCTACCGAGGAGTGAACGGCCTCGGCCAAAGAAGCTAGTTCGAATTGGGACTCTGAACGTAGGATCGCTAACTGGGAAGTCCCGAGAGGTTGCTGATCTGATGACGCGCAGGAATATCCAAGTCCTATGCCTTCAGGAGACGCGATGGAAAGGTGGCCAGGGAAATCGGGGAAGGTGTCAAACTCTACTACAATGGGGAAGACACCAAGCGGAACGGTGTGGCCATAGCGGTAGCGGAGTCGCTCAAGGACTATGTCTCC